CCAATCCCCCTGCATCCCTGAAGGGGACAGGGAGGCTGACCTGATGGGGAGAAGACCCAGCCTCAGGGGTAGCCACAACCCACACCTCCAACTCTCGACCTTCCTCCCACCCCTATCAATCCCTGCCAGGGTTGCCCAAAGCAATAGCACACCAGTGACAACCTGTCAGCACCCCCAGGGCACCCAGAGCCCACAGCCTGTTGCTGTTGGGCCCCCTCAGCTGGGCCCCCTACAACTCAGACCCAGGTGGAGGCAGGCCTGAGCGGCCCCCCATGGTCAGACCCCGCCCCTCATAGCAGTGGTGCTGTCTCTGCAGAGGAAGCACACTGAACCTTGCTTTAAAGTCTGTTTGTTAGGGGCAAAAATAGAATATTGGAGACGAGCTTTGGTTATGGGAAATATTAATCATGCTATGTTAACCATTATTGCGCCCTCACCTCCACAGTGCATGAATTTTCATGTACCAGGTCTCTAGTAAATAAAAAAAGTCTAGGCTTTTGAAATTTAAAATATAAAGTTGGGGACATAAAAAACATGTTAAGTGAAATTATTGCAAACCATATGTACAATGTGATACTAATATTGTTTTTAAAGCACTAAACCACATGTGTCAAACACAAGGCCTGCGGGCCAAATCCGTCCCGCCAGGCCTTGCAATGTGGCCCGCACCGCGCTGTCATCACTGCACTCCGCTGCGTTTCCATCACAATGACAGTTTATGACTGTTCAGTAAACCATTCGGCCGGCGATTTAGGCTGGATTTTAGATTTTGGCCCATTCTCTGATTGAGTTCGACACCCCTACACTAAACAATAGCACATATTATTTATGGAAATATACATACTATGTGGAAAAAGTACAAAATATATTTGGGAATAACACACACCAACTACAGGATAGCATTTACATTTGGCAAAGGAAGAAGATGGGTGAGATTAAGGGCAGAATCTTGCCTGTATCTGACATTTGATTTCATTGAAAGGGTGAGAAGAAGAGATCAAGTCTTTCATTTAAATAATGATACATTTTTACACTCAGACCAGACAATTTTATACCTACTTTAAAGTAAAATTAGCTTTATTTGATTATACAAAAAATAGTGGTCCATAATCTACAAAAAAGACTGGGTACAAGTTATACCTTGATAACGTTGATTTAATAAAAACTGGAGGCAGACTCTTTCCAGCCAGTGCCGAATCATGGGCATTTTGGGGGATAACTGGTACAAGTGAAAGGAGTTTTTAGAGGTGAAATAGGCAGGTTTAGGAAATTTTAGGAATTAAGGGGTCCATGGAAAACACAGGGCTACAGAGATGAAAAGGGTACATTTCCATAAAACAAGGGAGCTAGGAGCCAAAGAAGTTATATTTCCATAAGATAAGGGATCTGGGGGTAGCAAAAGGTACACATTTACAAAACAGAGGGAGGAAGAAAGCCCAGAGAGAATACTATATAATAAAGAGGTAATACGCAAATTGATCATCACTCCAACACACATGTGGGTGCAAGATGGTCAACAGGCGAGGGTAGCTGAGGGGTGACCAGGACTGCAGGGGAGGGCAGAGGGGACAATTGGGCCAGCAGGGTAGCATCAATCAGGCAGGCAGGGAAGTGGTTAGGGGTGATTAGGCTGGCAGGCAGAAACAGTTAGGGACAATCAGGCAGGAGAGTGGCTGGAAGCCAGCAGTCCTGGATTATGAGAGGGGTCCCAGATTGGAGAGGGTGCAGGCTGGGCTGAGGGAGACTCCCTACCCCTATGCACAAATTTCGTGCACCAGGTCTCTAGTAGAACAATAAGGGAGAAGGAGGAAACCTCACCTACTTCATGTGAGACTTGAGCTCAGGAGTTGCAATAGTGACCAAATCAAAGGGGGATATTGACCAATCAGAGGGGATATTGAGACACAAAAACAACCTGCAGCCTTTGTAAACTGTGGAAAAAGGAACTCAGTAAAACTCTTTCCCCCTCCCCATGTGGGAATATGTGCATGTTTCTCAATAAATTTCCACCTTTGCTATACCATCTTTTGCCCATAGTTTCATTCTTTGACTCCTGGAAACCATCCTGCTCAGAGATACACCGTGTGTTTCCAGTCCAAATTTCCAATTTCACAAGCACCGTAAAACCAGAAGCAAGAGAAAGCCCACCATAGGAAACAAAAATGTGACCTGAGACACCCTGCTACCAACACTAAGACTGGCCCTTGCCCATACACACAGTCCGTATGTGGGGTGGTAACAAGAAGTATCAAACCTTAACACTGGATGTAGGCAAACATCTGGGGCTCAAGAGTACTACTTGAAAAACAAGGATTATTGATCTGGTCTACGATGCATCCAATAATGAACTGGTCCGTACCAAGCCCCAAGAAAAGAACTGCACTGTGCTCATTGACAGCACACTATACCTACAGTGGTATGAGTCCCACTAGGCACTGCCCTTGTGCTACAAGAAGGGGGTCAAGCTGACTCCTGAGGAGGAAGAGATTTTAAACAAAAGATGTTCAAAGAAAATTCAGAAGAAATCTGCTGAAAGAAAAAAGGATGCCAAAATCAGCAGTCTTCCAGAGGAGCAGTTCCAGCAGGGCAAGCTTCTTGCAAGCATTGCTCCAAGACCAGGCCAACATGTCCAAGCAGATGGATATGTGTTAGAGGGCAAAGACCTGGAGTTCTATTGAAGAAAATCAAGGCCCAGAAAGGCAAATAAATCCTCTTCCCTCGTATCTTAGCACATGTAACGAAGATGTTTATTCTAAAAAAAACAACGAAAACACACACACACAAAAATAAACCAAAACAACTGGTGACAATAAAATAAACTCCAAATTTCTGAAAAAGCAAATAACTACTGGGAAGTTGCTATTAGAATAGTTGATGCCTTGTGGGTATGTGTGATAATATAAATATCCCAGGACCAATGGTGTGAATGGGAAGGTGGGAGATTTGAAAAAGATGACATTAATATCTATTAAGTCAAAATTATTGCAAATGGTTATGTGCAGTGTGACAACATTTATGTATGTTTTAAAAGCACTAAATAATATCACATTGTTAAATTGGAATGGTGGAACTTGAGCACCTATTTTATTATTTTCTACTAGAGGCTCTGTGCACGAAATTCATGCAAGATTCAGAGACACTGAAGCATGGATCAGATTGCCATATTTCAGAGGGAAGGCAGGGTGGATGGGGAGAGATTAATGAGGGAATTTAAATGCATATATGCATAACCCACAGACACAGAAAATAGTTGGTGAAGATCTGAGAGGGGTGGGTGTGGTGTGAAGGGGGAGGTCAATGGGGGGAAAAAGAACAACAAAGGGGATTGCAAAGAAAGCAGAGAAACAGAAGACCCCCTAATTCTCAGTGGTCAACTCTCCCCCCCCCAAAAGAGCCAAAAAAAATCCCACTAAAAATTAACTGGCATTATCTATCATAATTTAATGCAATACCTGGTTCATTGGGAGTTTTGCATTTTAAGCTTTGCATATTTGTTACACAGCACAAACCTTGCTAATCAGGTGCTACCTTTTGCATATCAAGATAATGCAACTGACACCAATGGAGTGAAAGCTATGCTCAGGCTTGAACTTTGGAATCTTGTTTTTAGAGTATAGGTAGATTTGATAAAAGAGCTCCCCCCTCTCTCATAACATTCCAAATGTGAGTCAAGGATTTAGAAGACAAGGAGCCAAAATGTAGCTAGGACAATTGGCACTCACAGCAGCAAAGTCTAAAACCTATGCCTTAAAATAGCTGCTTTTCTTAACTTAAGGACTATTCAAAGACATTAATATGTTACACTGTATTGTCCATAATTAGAGAGTCAATACAGACCACTGATCCATTCTCAGGAAACAATGAACTAACTTAATGGTCTATAAAGACAGCAAACTTTCTGTCTTGCTGGATTTGCTCACTGTTCCTTCTGAACTTTCTCAGATGACCGTTAAGTGTACAAGCTCAGTGACACTAGGTAGCAAATACAATGGCACCAAGAATTCTCAAAGACCATCAAGGCCCCAATATGTCCTAAATCTCATGTTCTTTTTTTTACTTCCTTTCATCTTCCTTCTCCAAAATCTACATCAATACCTGAAGACAATACACCAACAGCATTCCAAGCACCAAAGAGACAAAAAGTATCCTGGCCAGTGTGACACAGTGATTGAACGTCATCCAATGCACCAAGAGGTCACCAGTTTGAGGGCATATGTCTGGGTTGTGCTCAATTCCCGGTGGGGGGCATGCAGGAGGCAGCCAATCGATGTTTCTCTCTCATAGACGTTTCTCTCTTCCTCACTTTTCCCATATTTCTAAAATCAATAAAAACATTTTTAAAAGGGACAAAAAGTGTGGGGGAGCACGGAAGACTTGGTTGTAAAGTCTGTAGGGAGGAATATGCACAAGGTCAGGGCCTTAGAGGGACCTTGCTGAAGGTGGCAGACCCTGTCTTTACTTTTCTGAACAAGTCTAAGTCCCTGGATGTTTACCAGAATCTTTCTGCTTAGTCTTTAGGTGTCATTGCTTAAAGGATACTGCAGACACATGTGTTCCCCCAAGATTACTGATCCTACTAAAAGATAAAGTTAATCTCAAACTGCTGTTACAATAAAAGCCTAAAGAGGCAAGTAATTGAGGCTGTCTGGTTCCTTTAGCCAGGCAGACCCTTAGCTTGCTCTTTCACAGCGAATCTGTGTCAGAGAAATCATACATCCATCACTTAGCGTCTGCTGATCAGTCCTGGCAAAAAAGTAGAAATCATACCATATAATTTATTTTTAAAAAGCAAAAATATCTTATCATATTGACATTTAGAAAAGTCTAGGACCAAAAACAGTATTAATGACACTACAAATGTATTATAGAAGATAGTTCTTAAATGATCTTTGTATGATTTACTTCAAAAGGTGATCAGCAATTGGAAAGAGAAAAAAACTTGATAAAAATAAAAGCATATTTTCACTTGAATTTTACTGCAACTTTTATAGTTAACCTACCTCAAGTTTAAGTAAGTCAGCATCTGCAGATTAACGATGGCCTCAGGAATGACTCTGATACAATTATGATATAGATTAAGGATTTCCAGTGATACAAAATGGCACAATTCCATTGGAACTTCAACCAGTCTGTTTTTAGATAAATCTAAGAGAAAAGAAAAGAATATTTTGTCAATACACCTTCAACATCATCTAACACAATCTTATCAACTATCATACCTTTTTCTTAAAATAATCATTATAACTTACACTGAGATCAACATTATATGATGTTATGATCTCCATTTATTAGCATACTAGAAGCCCATTGCAGGAAGATTCCTGCAAGAACAGGGCTTCCAGCAGGCTTCCCTCCCACCACCACCACCCCTCCCGTCCCCCCTCGCTTTCCCTGCCACCTCTGTCCCACACCACTTTCCCTCCAGCAGACACTGGTCTCCGTGTTTTGCCTCCACCCACTACCCTGCACTTTTCTTCCCACTGCCTCTACCCCCCACCCCAAGCTTTCCCTCCTGAAGCCGATGCCCCCCACCGTGCTTTTCCTCCTGCAGCCGCTGCCCCCCACCGCTGCCCCCCACCGTGCTTTCCCTCCCGCAGCTGCCTTGCTTTCCGCTTTCCCTCCCTCTTTCTTCTATGCTGTCTTCAGTCTTCACTCCTCACTCCATCTGTGTATGCAAATTAACTGCCATATTTGGTGGGTTGATTTGCATATTTGCTCTGATTGGCTGGTGAGTATAGCGGCGTGGTTAATTTGCATGTTTCTGTTTTGTTAGTGTAGATTAACCCAATATATGTGATAAAACAAAAATACTACTGAAATAGTTTTAGCTCTCTATATTAATTTGTAAATTCAACCCAGAAAGGGTAACTGAATCAATATTTACTTTTCACTTTATTTGAAAATTATTTCAATGTTAAATGTAAAACTGTATCCTTTTAATATATCGGAATATCATACATATAACTACCACACTTAAATTCTTCAATTCAATTTTGCATTTATAACATGTGTTTTCTCTCAAAATATGACTTTTATATCTTCCCCAAGCAAACATATAGTAGATGGTAAACAAATATTTCTTTTTAAAAAAAATATATTTTATTGATTGTTTTACAGAGAGGAAGAGAGGGATAGAGAGTTAGAAACATAGAAGAGAGAATCATCAATCAGCTGCCTCTTGCACACCCCCCACTGGGGATGTGCCCGCAACCAAGGTACATGCCCTTGACCAGAATCGAACCCAGGACATTTCAGTTCACAGGCCGACGCTCTATCCACTGAGCCAAACTGGCTTCGGCCAAATATTTCTTTTTAAAAAATATATTTTTATTGATTTCAAAGAGGAAAGGAGAAAGAAACATAAATGATGAGAGAGAATCATTGATTGGCTGCCTCCTGCACACCACCTACTGGGGATCGAGCCTGCAATCCAGGCATGTTCTCTTGACCGGAATAGTGCCTGGGGACCCTTCAGTCCACAGGCCTATGCTCTACCCACTGAGTAAAACCAGCTAGGGCAACAAATATTTCATTCACTAGGATTTCTGAGTGCCCACCATGTATTGTACAAGAAGGAGATAAATCAGTTGTACCCATTACGGACTGGCACTGTGTCTACCATATGACTTGCAGTAAAAATGGGTTCACTTGGCCAAATGTTCTCTTGGTCTACCACGCAATGTAAACACATATAAGGTGTATAATGTCACCAACTCAACAACGAAAATATAGAATAGCCCTTAATGTTTAAATCTGGGAATGGTAGATTTCAAATACCATAAAACACTGAATATAAAAAGAGCCACCACTCTCAAAATCAATAACAGATCACTTCATATTTTATTATGAGGGACTCAATCAGTGTTAACTTGAAGATGTTTAGTAAATAACATATAATGTATATTTAAGAAAACCACACTCCACACACACACACACACACACACAAACACACACACAAACTTAAATAGGTCAATACTATAATGAAACAAAATTAAAAGAGATACCTTCATGACTGTCCTTCTTATGCACAAATACGTAAGTAAATAAAAACAGGCCTAGCTGACTTTAGGGAGAATTCTAAGAAATTCTAAATGGATAATTCTAATGATATATAAATTATTCAAACCCATTTAAAAAAAAAAGCGCCCAAATTCTTATTTTAAAAGTGAGATATAATATTGATACCATTACTTAATAAAGAAAATACACAAAGGGAAATTAAATGAGTATCCTTTCTAAGTATTAACGTAAGTCCTAAATTTAAAAATTAGCAAACAGCACTGGCAGTGCAGCTCAACTGGTTGGAGCGTTACCCCATACACTGAAAAGTGGAGGATTCGATTCTGGTCAGGGCACATATCCAGGTTGCAGGTTCAATCCCCAGTCAGGCCATGGATGAGAAGCAACTGATCAATGTCTCTCTCTCTCCCTCTCCCTCTCTCTCTTCCTCCCTCCCTCTAGAAGCTATTTTTAAAAATTAGCGAACAGAATTGAGCACTACATAAAAAGATTAGCATACTATGACTAAGTGGGATTTATTCTAGCAAGATCAGTATTTTTGTATTATCTAAACAATACACCACATAAACAGAGTACAAGTGGTATGGTATATGATCATCTCTATACGTACTAAAAGATATATAATAAAATTGTCATTCTTTTTGTAAAACAACTTCATAGTTTTACATATTATAAACTTGACCCATTTAAAATATACAATTCAGTGATCCCTAGTAATTTTACCAAGTAGTGCATCATTCAGCACCATAAATCAGTTTTATTATAGAACAGTTATATTCATTCTTAATGCAATTCTATATAATAAAGAGGGGATATGCAAATTGACCATCACTCCACCACAAAAATGTGGAACCAACAGCAGAGGCGGGAGGGAGAGGAGGGAATGGCTTCGATAACGTAAGATGGCTGTGCCTACAGCAAAGGCGGGGTTTCCATAACACAAAATGGCTGCACCCACTTGTGTTACTTGTGTTACATTAGGAGAGGCCGAGTTCCTGTAATGAGCCTTAAGGAGCAATCAGCAGAGACCTGAGGCTGTGCCTCCCTCCCCACCCCTGTGGAGCTTGACGGGGACCTCAGGCTGCGCCCCCCACTCCCTGGTGCCAGGCATGGGGAACCTGAGTCCGCATCCCCAGCCCCGGCACCAGGCTGGGGACCTGAGGCCATGCCCCCACCCAGCAGGGCTTAACGGAGGGCCTCAAGGTGTGCGCCCTCACCCTAGTGCTGGGCTGGGGAACCTCGGGCCCTGCCCCTGCCCAGAGGAGCTTGACAGTGGACCTGAGGCTGTAGTCCCTCCAAGTGGGGCTTGACAGGGGATCTCAGGCTGCATCTTCTACCCGGCAGGGCTTGATGGGGGACTTCATGGTGCACCCCCTGCCCCGTCCAGACTCGGGAAACTCAGGCCATGCACCCCCCCCACCCCCCCGCCCTCCGCCCTGGTGCCAGGCAAGGGGACCTGAGGCTGCGTCCCCTGCCCTATGGGGCTTGACAAGGATGGGATCAGAGGGTCTGGATCTAGCCCAATGGATGGGGACTCCGCCAGGTCTGGGTCTCGCACGATTTTGAGGCGCACATGAGAAGGTGGGGACTTGACTCTGGGTCCCATGGTGTGCTCTAGACTCTGACAGGAGGAAGATTTTCATATACATTTTACTAATTGTCTTTCATCTCTGACACTTCTATTATAGAGAAAGGAAAAATAGCAATATTAAAATATTTCCTCTAATTAATCCCCTTTTAATGTGCACAAATTTCATGCACTGGGCCACTAGTTACTTAATAAAAGGAGAAAATTTGAACATTTCCTTACATAATTTACAACATAAGAGAAAGAGACTATGCTTTTATTCATTGCTAAATCATAAACAACCATACATGTTGTCATTAAAGTCAAGACAAAACATCACCATTATTACTACTGTTACTATTTACTGTTATTCAGAAGGTACTAGCCAATGACAGGGGATAAGAAAAGGAAGGAAAAAGAAAATTGAAAAATAAAAAACAGAATTATCATTATTTACAGAAAATATGATTATTTTCCTGTAAAATATAAAAATATTAATAGAAAAACTATTATAAATGTAAAAATGTATGGGATAGGCAATTAATATACTGATATGATAGTTTTCACACACAAACTAGCAAAACAATACAACAGAAGAGACCCAATTTATTACAGCAAAAGAATAAAAGACCTATAAAATTTTAGGACATATGCAAAGTTTATACGGATAAAATGTTACAGTGCTACTAAATAATACTAAATAAAGAAGTTCAAACAGTTGAAAAGATATTTTACGATTTTAAAAAAGAAGACATCAAACAGGTGTCAAGGCTTTCTAATCTATACCTATATAATTTAATACACTCCCTATTTTTAAAACACTTACAGGATACATTTTTTAAACTTGTTGGGTTCTAAAGTCCTAAAGTCCACATTGCATGGTAAAACAACAATGCAAAAATGAGCTCTCTCAGAGAGGAAGAGCTCTGAGAGGTGCCAGCCCTCCTAGACAGTAAAAGCATGCCGTAAAGCAGTGTGGTGGACAGGTGGGAAGGTAAGTGCAGCAATTTACAAAGATGGGAAATAAGTGACATGTGGAAATAAAGTATGCAATAAGGATGGCACTTCAAATCAACAGAAAAAAGATGTAAAGTAAGTGAACAGTTTGAGAAAACTGAATGCCATCTGAAACAAAGGATGACCACTTAGCTCAATAACTTCTAGGTAAATCAAATGATTATTTGTAAAAATGAAGCTGTAACAGCACTAGGGCAACACCTATGAAGTTTGTGTTTATGATCTATGAATGGCATAAAGCAAAACTGACATATTTGACACATTGAAAACAAAATTTATGGCATTTTAAAGCAAAAATTCCACCAAAAATACAAATGACAATCAAGAAACTTGGGGGAAGATGGAAATCCCTACAATTCATAAACACAAAAGGTTCATTTTTATACATATAAAAAGTTTATTTTTTTAATATATATTTTGTATTGATTTTTATACAGAGAGGAAGGGAGAGAGATAGCAAGTTAGAAATATTGATGAGAGAGAAACATCAATAAGCCACCTCCTGCACACCTCCCACTGAGGATGTGCTCGCAACCAAGGT